CCATTTATCTACTCACATAAGTTTTCGAGCTGCTGGGTTGGCAGGAGCTGGGGAGGAAGCACGAGCTCGCTCTGCTATGCGGAGCTGAGCTCGAACCACTGAAGTGTCGACCATTTCTGGCTGGCAACTTTCAGCGTCATTAAGCCGCTGCGCCACCGCATCCAACATTAAAGATACATCTGCTTTAATTAATGCATGGGAACCTGTAACTCCCATGCATTCCATAACATCCTTCTAAATCATTTTTGAAGCATGAGCAGCCCTAAAAATGAATTCTTCCATCTCACAATTATGAGAGCTACTACACTAATGAGAAAACCAGGGCTGAAACAAATCAGTTTGAGTACCATCCCTTCTTAACTTTTAAGTTTATATGATTTTTTACCTCTGATAATTCCTGAAGCATATTGGAGAGTAATTCACAACAGATGTCCTTCAAGATTTTTAAATGGAAATCTTCATCAACTATTTCCAACTTTTCACACTCTTCTGACTGGGATTTGTTTGAGCTATCTACAGATCTCTTCACACTTTCATCCATATTTTGTAACACTCTAATCACACTGTCAATAAGAGCCATATCTGAAATACAAAAAAATTTTATTTTGTAACACTCTAATCACACTGTCAATAAGAGCCATATCTGAAATACAAAAAAATTTTATTTTGTAACACTCTAATCACACTGTCAATAAGAGCCATATCTGAAATACAAAAAAATTTTATTTTGTAACACTCTAATCACACTGTCAATAAGAGCCATATCTGAAATACAAAAAAATTTAAAAATGATGAATGAAAGTATTTTGGGGCAAAGAGGAATTTCTAGTAGCAAAGTAACTTTTAAAATAGGTAGACTTTGTCTATTGAGTCATTGACAGTATCACAGCAGTCAAAAAAAACACCCAGAATAGACAAAATATCAAATATTAGGTCAAGCAGCAGTTCTTTCTTCATAAATTAATATAATAGATTATAGATCTATTTAGATTATAGATCAAATTAAAATATTTTCCACAAATATTTATAGACTGAATAGTCCATTTAAAAGGAAAAATATTAGAAAGGGAAAATGCAGATATGTCTTATAATATATATTAAAAAGAATGATGTATTTTTATTAAGAATTAAGAATTATTAAGAATGTAATCACTTCAGTCAAATATGTATGGCCTCAGACAAACTGGAAAAAAATAGTCATATATATTAAGATATTTATCATAAAATGTGGAAAAACAAATTCAAGATGAAGAAGGGAAATTTACACTACAGGTAATCCTCGACTTACAACCACAATAGGGACAGGAAAATTCATCGTTAAGTGGTGCAGTCCTTAAGCGAGCATCACGTGACCACACCTGATTTTACAACTTCTACTGCTGCAGTCGTTAAGTGAATCACTGTAATCATTAAGCATGACATCATGTGACCACGACTTGCAACCTTCCCTGCCGGCTTCCCCATTGACTTTGCTTATCGGAAGCCAGCTGGGAAGGTCGCAAAAGGTGATCACGGGACCACAGGACACAGCAACCGTCATAAATGAGCAATGATTGTCAAGAATCCAAATAATGATCACATGACTGTGGGGTTGCTGCAACGGTTAAGTCCGAGGATCTGTTGTAAGTCACTTTTTTCAGCGCCATCATAATATCCAACGGTCACGAAACAAATGGTCGTAAGTCAAGGACTACCTCTATTACAATTTCAAATTCCACATAGGAAAATTAACAATAGCTTCAGTTTATGTCCAAATGACAATAAATAAAATGTTATGAAACTATTTTTCAGTTAGTTCTTGAAATTGCAGAGGGAGTTTTTAGATATTGGAGATATAAATAGGGCTCTTTTATGTCATTCTTTTCTCTTTTAGATTGAAACATAAATGCCCTTTAGGGAAAGAATATACTTACTATTCTTCCGCTCACTAAACTTACTCAAGCACATACATGGGCTATATCTCTAGCTCATTAACCAATTTTATAAATGTGGAAGTTGTAGCTCTTACTTATGCAGATCATAATCCAATAACTGTAAGACTGTGTAGAAGAACCTCCAGACCAAAAAGATGAAGGCTGAATGGCCTATTATTATTGCAAAAAGATAGTAAACTGAAGTGCCAATGTAAATTAAAGAGATTCTTCCAAAACAATTTAACTCCTGAGGTTTCATAATCTGCCGTGTGAGATTCTAGTAAAGCTCTCATGAGAGGACTGTTTATTTCTTTGGCATTAAGGAACAGGAAAACCATGCAAGAACAAAAGGACATATTGATGAATGAACTGAAGCAATTATAATCAAGATATAAGGAGAATCCAATCTTGATTTTAGAACAAAGTGATTCAAAATCAATTGAACCTAAAGGAAATGAATTAAACTTACAAGAAGATTAATTTTGCTAAACAGAAAAATTAGGAAATTCATACCATTGAAATAGGAAGAACTCAAGATATGGCAAATTTACCACTTGTGAATAGCATAGTAATTGTTCACATGGAAATTGAACTGAGCATATTCCTGCAAAATTCTCATTCCCCAACTCTGCTATGACCTATACTATCCTTCAAATATTCAATTTTGAAATTCTTTGATTAAATTCCCTACCATTTTGGCTTTTGTAATATATATGGTATAACACTTACTCTTTTCTATCTTGGCATAATCCTGTTCAGTCTGTGAAGCAAAGATGGCTGATAGCACAGATAAAATAGAAGCCAACACAGTCTTCTGTTCTTGAACAATAATTGGTGGATCATCTGGCTGGCAGAGTTCATTGCAGAAGAGATTATATAACAAGTTCCACATTTCCTTTCCTCTATCAGGAGACTTTACTGGAAAATGAAGGGAAAAAAATCAGTCAATCCCTGGAAAAATTCTTTATCAAAAGACTCTCTGCAAATACTTTTTAATTAAATGCTTCGGAAAACATACCAATTGTTTGAATGCCTTCATCCACAGTAGTGAGCAGCTGTAGAATATGCATATAAACTTCAAGTCCTTCGGAATTGTTATCCGAGCTGCAGTAAAGCATTATGAATTCTATTTAGAACTATTTACCAAGAAAGATTTGTGTGTCTTTGTATGAGCAAACTCAGACTTGAAGGGGGACATATTGTTGAAAAAAGCAAATATTTATTGAAATGTTTCTACCTCATTCAGTGATTTCCAAGATAGTTAAACCCCAACATTTCCAGTTTAAAATATTAGTACTGACACGATTTAGTGTTTTTGCTACAAAAGGCAGATATAATTTGATTTCAGAGGGAAATGGTATCTAGGCCATATTGTGTCATGCATTATATGGCAATTCAAGCACCTTGGATGCCTCGGAAATAGTACACTGTAGCCTGAACATTACTGCATGAATTAAGGTGGCTTACATTTCTATGCTTGCATGCATACTGATAGATGCTTACCAAACTTGTTTTGCAGCTTCAAGCAGACAAGGTACAATCTTAAAATCAGGAAGTTCATCTGGAGAATCATCTGTGGGTTGTCCCGCTGATGGACAAGAATCTTTTTTAATCCAATTTATCATTAATTCTTCATCCAAGTCAAACAACTTATCAACCACCTCACCAACTTTCACCAGCAACTCCACTGAAACAAAAATTAAAGTACAGTTGAATTAAGACCACATAAAATACAAAGCAAAATTGAGAAAACAGAATTATTTTAGTATGCTTTGTTTAAATCACAACAGTAATTGATTTGGATGTATGCTGCTTTGAGAATCTTTATATTAGGAAATGGAATACAATTTTATTTTCAAGTAAATAAATACAAAATTACCAGAGAAGTAAAATCCCCCCCAAGTAATGTTTGTTGTATATATTTTTTCCTCTCCTTTTTCTTAACTTTTATATTTATTTTTTCAGTTCACTCTGCAGGAATGATATGATTTTCAGAACATGAAGCATAGCATTAAGAATTAGGATGACGAGTCTGTTGCTTGTCCCCTAACACTTTGAGGTATTAAACACACTGCATTCTATGAATTTCCAAACAGCAGTTTAATGTTATGTTACTAGGTATTACTAAATACCGGAGCAGCACTTTGGATTTGAAGGCAAAAAGGTGGTTTGGAGTATGAAAGGACATGCATATACCACCTGTCTGCAACTTTTTAACTGGAAATGTTGTACATTTTCCTTTTATATCTTGCATTCTTTCCCTTTTAGCCTATGTTTATGTTTGAAAATATATTTAAGAAAATTCAGAAAATCAGAGTGCTTACAGCACCTAATCCTGAAGTTTATTTTCCCCAAGATTTGGATTGCCAGAGATTCAAAAAAGACTTTTCTATTGTTCCTTCAGTTTGTAAACGTAAGTGCCAACAGTACTTTATGAAGATCCACCCACATTCATATTTTATATTTATGTAACAGAGTATTTTACGAATAACTGGAAGACTTTATAACCATAGGGAAAAAAGACACCAAAGACTATTCCACTGGTTCACATAGTTTTGCTCTGTTATGGATTCTTTGTTTCTTAATAAAAATGCTTCAAGCAAAGTTTTCCTTAGAAGTAATTAAAAAATATTTGGTCCCCATAATCAAAATACATTGGGAATTGTGCATTTTTCTTTACTTTAAAAAAATGCCCTTTGGTGCAATATTCTCCATGTGTTAGCTTACCATTTGTAGAACTAGACATGATAAAGCAGAAACAGTCATAGAAGCATGGACTTTGTCGGATTCTCTCCACCCAAATATTAGCCACCTCAGATTGACAGAGGCAAGTGAACAGTAACCTAAAGGGGAAATGGAAATGTAACAAGTATGGGATTTTTTTGAAAAGCCCAAATTTATACTCCAATCTTATAAGCATCTAAAAGTAAGCTCATCAAATATATTTCTAAGTAAACTTGCATAAGACTGCACTGTTAAATTTTTATCATTGTATATGTTTCTTAGGTACACAATTAAAATTACATCTAGCAAACGATGTGTGAAATCAATTTAAATGTAAAAATTGAATAAAGGGAAAAGTAAGAATATAGAAGTCCTGGAAGCACTCTACTGAGTCCAGTCGTACTTCTCCCAAGTACATTTAAGTAATAAAAAGGGAACCTACTAGCTTTCTAATTGCTTCCTAATTCATACTGCTAATGGAAACCAAAGTAATACCTTGCCTTACTAACTGCTGTGGGGACCAGCGGCCATTAGGAGGTAGGACCATGAAGAAAAACTTCATGATGTAGCAGAAAGCAGCCTGATTCTTTACAGTGACCAAATAAGCAGCAGTTAGATCATTTAGCAAAAGGGAGACTAACTAGATTCCTTACTTCAGCCTCTCTGCCAGTAGAATACTCACGTATCCCTGACAGTTGCCAGGGACTGGAAGGATCAAGAGCAATACAACGTTGCCCCTATTATCAGAATAACAATTCTATCTATTGTCCAAAAGAACAAGAACCAAAAATAGCTCCTTAAGCAAGGCCTCTAGGAAAGGAAGATCAACCTGTGCTGAATGGAATATATATGCCAGTATATATTGCTCATCACTTCTTTACGGCCTTAAAGAACTGGTCCCTCCTTTTTGCCTCCACTTATTTGGACTGTCAGCTTGTTTAATTTTAAAACTGATATGAGCAGCTTTTGGAGACAACAGTTGTAAGAAGATAAAAATGCACTGAGTACTGATACTTTATATATACTTATTTTTATTTTTATTTATTTATTTCACTTTACCTGTGAGCATTAGTAAATGGCTACATTTACACCTAACACGAAACTAGAATTGTAAATAATCACGGCTAACTTATAATCAAGCAACAACAGTTCCATCAGTGGTTTGCTTATCCTTACAAGTAAAGCAGGCATACATGGATTCTGATCTAGGAAGAAATAAATTAGATGTCTTGGTCTGTATAAAACAACACACAGAGTTGACCAGATCTGAGAACTGCACTTCACTGCAAGAGAAGCTACAAGCAAATAAACCGTGTGCACAAGCCTACTGCCTCTTTCCAGGTAAATCAGAATTCTGCCATTCTGGCTTATCATTGTCTCTTATGCTAAGATATTTTAGTCACTCAGAAACAAACGAACAAACAGAAAACCCTTGCTTACCGGCTTGTTTCAAGCAGAGTAGGGGAATCGGAATCACATAAACGTTGCAGCACTATTTGTCTGGAAAAATTACAGTATCGGTTAAGCAGCATATAAAATATGAAACAAACATTATTTTCTATGCCTTTACTCAGACATCTACCAGTGCTTCCTGAGCCCTGTCATCCTTAATGTTTAGAGTTGCTAAAATAAAGAGCAAGTGCAATATTGGAGAATGCTTTACTACAACAGAAAGCAGACCTTTTCAAGTCTAGACCCAACACTATGGAACATGCCTCCCCCCCTCTTTTTTGCCTATAGAAGAATGTTTAAAACTGTTCTTTTTAAATAGCCCGTTGAAGGCTAATGCCAGCGGGTGTTCTTAGACTACCACTTATTTATTATTGCTTATGCTGTGTGGAGTGAGATGGGACTGATGTTGTACGAGACTATTATTTATCCTTAGGTTGATGTACACTGATTGGAGCAGCATGCAATAGATACATACTTGATTTACTAAGTGACTTAAAGAGAATGGTCTACTGTATTAATTCAAGTGCCTGGTTCTACACAAATCTGCTTTAACATTTCTAATAAAGAAAACCTGCAACAAAGGCATTCAGGGAGGAAACACAGTAAGATTTATTGCTTCTACTAATTAATAATTCAATAATTATTGAATTAATTATTCAATAATTATTCAATAATAATTCAATAGCAACAATATTATTCTGCTTGCAAAAGAAGAGATGTTATACAGGTCACTGAAAAGGAAGTACGGTTAGTCCTTGTTTAGCGACCACCATTGGGACCGAGTTTATGATCCTACTTCACCTTTCCTGATCTTCCTTTCCTTTCCCCTCCTTTCCTTTCCAGACCTGTGAAGGTCGTAAATGTGAGGATTGCTAATAAAATTACTTTTTCATCACCATCATAACTGTGAAAGATCACTAAACAAGGCAGTTGCTAAACAAGGACCACCTGTATGGCTGTAGCATTATATAGTTAGATCACTAGTCCTTAAAGCATACATTCTACCACTGAGGTACTCATGTTCCACATTTCACATTTAGATGACCGGGTTCATAGTGTTTGCTACAGATGTAGAAATATCTAGAGGTATGGCCCCCTCCCCTTTGGTCAATCTTCTCTACCCTGTTAGATCTATTATTTTCTTGCTCCCCATTTACAAATCGAACAGAATATTAAGCTGTAGACAAGCCCCACTGCTTTTCCCAAAACATTTCTCTCTCTCGCAACACACCAAAGAAAAAAGTGGTTTTAGCAAGTGATGCAGTTGCCAGGAAACCAGAATGGGAAAAAGTTACTTCTGAACTGGCTCCATGTCAAATTCAACGCTTTTCCTTAACACACAAGGGTTTCAATCCCACATAAAATACCACCAGCAATTAAAACAAAACAAAGGAGAGGAATAGAGAGTGAAAGCAGAGTTCCACAAAGCTGAAATAGGGCAAAGATAAAAGGCCACAAAGAAGACAAATGCAGCACTCCACTTTTTATTGTGCTAGCACCCTTATCTGGGTATGTTTCCTGCCAGAATAACACCATGAGAAGGGGCATACTGGCACATCTACATACAAGGGCAGCATAATCTGGCACCAAGTCGCTGCAGAATCAAGATGGAGTCAACAATCCAGACATCGAAATTTAAAGCAGCAATGTTTTTGCTGACACAAGGATGAATGAGTGGTGCGTTAAACCAACAGTGGGAAAATGGCTGAGATAAAAGATGAAACATCTTGTTTCACTATCAGTAAGTTTTGGAAGAGCAATCCTTTGCATCCATACTATATAACTCCTTTGAGATAAAAAGGCAGTTTGAACAGATGCTTGCAATAGCAGGCTTTATCCTTTAAAGGAGTATCAAAGATTTTATCTGGGCGTCCCTAAGGCTCAGGCCATACTCAGTATGGTTCTTTGCACGTTGTATTAAGACTCTCCTGCTGAAGCAATGGATGAACAAAGAATTAATGGAAGTTAAGTGAGAAAAGAAACAGTTGTTTTTTGTGGAGGGGGGGAGCATGAAAGTTAAACAACTGGATAAATTAGATTTCAGTAAAGGTATAGAACTTGCTAATACAGCCAGGTCAAAAAAAATCTTGTCCTTGATAAAGTTTGCAACAAGGTTTTTAGTAACAAATCAATGAGTTGGGATTTTAAGTGTATTATGTAATATTTATTAAATATCTTATTTGTTAAACTGTTTTATCTAATGCCAAGTAAAGGTATAGAACTTGCTAATACAGCCAGGTCAAAAAAAATCTTGTCCTTGATAAAGTTTGCAACAAGGTTTTTAGTAACAAATCAATGAGTTGGGATTTTAAGTGTATTATGTAATATTTATTAAATATCTTATTTGTTAAACTGTTTTATCTAATGCCAAGTTCAGATTATATTTGTAACTTCCTTTGGGGCCTTTTGGCCGTAAATAAAATTGATCGATTGATAATGTTTGCAAATACGTATCTATAAAATCATTTTTTTTTTTATTCTTACATTTGGACTTGACACTGCTTTTCCTGTATCTTCCTCCATGACAAACATTTGAGACATCTTATATCCACCTGCTGAGTCTTATAAATGTTAACATCAGATATATATTTTTCTTTCATTCTATTAAGAATCAGTGTGTACGAAATGGTGTTTTAATAGCCATAGGAGCTAAAACTGGAGTCTGAAAATCCTGAAATAAAAACTTACCCAAGGTTCTCATCTTTACTAATAGATACGCATGTATCTTGGCAACAGGCCATATTTCCCAGAATACCCACACAGATTTCCTGCAATCCAAAATATAGTAAATTAGCATAAAGTTATATATACATTAAGACAAGGATTATCAAGGAAACATATGCTTTAGTGTTCTCAATAAATGCTGAATCAATCAAAGCAGAAATCTATATAGCCGTCACTTCTTCTTAAAGTATGGCCAGATCCTTTAATAAGGTTTAGTAACATATTTATTAAGTACTAGGTTTCTCATACTGACAGCCTTTGCACAATAAGATGTTTTGGTATATATATTATTATCTTTTAGGAGCTGCATTATCTTGTTGTAGGGGAAAAGCAGAGGAAGGAGTATTGTATATACTGCCTTGAGCTCCTAAAGGAAAGGTGCAATGAATCTAACAAATCAATCAATCAATCAATCAATCAATCAATCAATCAATCTCTTGCTAACAGTGTGAACGGGTTCCACCTATATCAAGATTTTCCTAATTATAACTGTCCCATTGTGTAGATTTCTATTATATGCTGTTTTGGAAGCCATATCCAGTACATTCAAAACCTTAAAATTCAGAAGCCATTTTCAGTTGAAAACAAGCTGGAAGCCAATTAAGTTGTGCCAAGGCATGGCCAATCAGGATACGTCAGTTAACATTTCTTAAATAGAAGCATTCTACATCACTTGAATTTTCCGAACTATCTTCTTGGGCAACTCTACATAACATATATTGCAATAGGCTAATCTGGAAATCATGGAACACAAACAATAATAGCTGGGTCTTTTGCCTTCCAGCAGAGCAGGCCTGCAGGCGTGGAAGCCAAATCAAATAACCCATCTCAAAGTGGGGCAGAAAAACTACACTAGATGAATCCACAGGATATTACACAATCCTATGATTCTATACCCCAGTGTTTCTCAACCTCAGCAACTTGAAGATGTGTGGACTTCAACTCCCAGAATTCCCTAGCTGCTGAGGTTGAAAAACACTGCTACAACCAATGTTAAAAAATTTGGAAAACTATAGAAGTATATTATAAGTAATAGATTACTAACAAGAGATGTTAAAAATTCAGAAATATTTAGTCAATTGCATATTTAATGTCTTTCTTCTGAAAGATCAAATTTTCTACATTTTAATATTGTATCTTTATTTGCTTTTTGGGCTCTATTCAACTGCATAATTCCTATGATGATCCAAAGCTCAACACTTCGTAATAAGCACAGATTCATAATGGAACTTACAGCAAGTCGAGGACACTTGGACTTTGCAAGAATAACCATAAATATATCAGGGGCTTTAAACTCTTGTAAAAATAAAGCAACATCCTGAAAGCAAGAAAGTTGGATTAAAATTAACAAAGTTTATTTGGTCAGGAGCGGCATAATTTTTAAAAGTTTTAAAAGTTCATTTTGGAATTTGATATATCGTAAAACATTTCTGCCAGCATCATCCCAAACAATAACCTTAGTTCTTAAAGTGAGGTTTGATCTTATATTGATGTTATCTCCTCTGAATGGTTCTTTTCTTGGTACTATAGTATCTTAGACAGTAGTGTGGATATTATGTATATTCTTTCTCTCATTTATTCAGAGGACCAGTTGATCATAAACAAATGATCAAAACAACATTGTATGAACAGATAGTACAAGATATGTTATTTCTTTTGAAAGAGGTACATCAACGAAACTCTCCAGTGCTTAATTTAAAATATGATCTGGAGAACATACAGAATGTAAGATCAACGTCAAGAACAGATTTAGTAATCTATGCCAAGGGCTCTTAGGCAGTATGTTACTGCAACCTCTTATAATGATAAATCTGGGAGGGAAATCATGAATAAAACTAATAATTTTACAGGGGTCATGACTGGGGAAGTAATAAATATACCACTTAAAAATACCACTTACTTTTAATAATTACATATTAATATGTATATCACATAGATTCTTAAATTTGTCAACCTGTGCAGGTAAAATGGGGAACAAAGCATGGAAACAAAGCATCAAAGATTTGATCATGCTCCAACTCTGCCTATACAACCCTGCCTGGGTGTAAAAGAAAAATGCGACCTACATTTTAAGAATCCCTGTCTCTTATAAGCAAGATTTTGCTTAAAATCTTACAAAGTAGAGCAAACCATGGGGAAAGAAATGCCAGATAAATAGGTGGGTTTCAGAGGGACACAACGTAGGATGGATAATGCCAAGCAGGAAAATACAAGACAGAATTTTATTTCATTGACTACAGCCAAATCTTTGCAGCATAAATCATGTTAGATTGTTAGAATGTGGAACATGTTAAGACTAAATGGCGTAACAAAACAACTGATTCTTCTTCAAAGGAATTTTAAAAATGAACCTGAAACTAATGTAAAAATTCAGTTTGCAGTAACAGTAGTTCAGAGTAAGGAATAGGTGTTAGACAAGGATGCATATTGTCCCCATATTTGTTTAACATATTTAGCAAATATATCATAAGAATGGCAAAATTAGAAGAAATTACAGCTGAAATCTAAATTGGAGGTTGACAATCTGAGGTACTCAGAGGGCAACATTTTCTTAGTCAAATGTGAAAAAGACTTTTTAAAATTGTCTTTGAAAGTTAAAAATGGAAAATGAAGTATCCTGGTTAATGTTAAGACAAAGACAATGTCATTTCACATGCTAAGTGAACTTGCAGTTAACAGTGATTAAGTGAAGACAGACAGCATGCTGGAGAAATAAAAAGTTTAATACTAGGAGGAAGGCAGTGACAAACATAAGGCAAAATCATGATGAAAAAATAAATTTCAGTGACAACAAAAATCAGAACAGTTAAAGTAATGGTCTTTTTGATTGTAATGTAAGAATATGAAAGCTGGAAACTACCGTAACAAAGAAGAGAAAGAAGATATGTCTTCAAATGATGGGTTTGGAGGCATTTACAAAGAGTAGCACAAGTGCAAGAATCACCAATACTTCCAGGAACAAGTAAAAGCAGACTAGAAAGCACAAGCTCATAGACTTTTGGCATATGATATAAGCAGATGGCCTAGAAAAAAATTATTATACTTGATAAGATTGAAGGAAACAAAAGAATGGGAAAACAGATCAAGAAAATAGACTGTATCAAGGATATTGCAGGATTGTCCTTGGAAGCATTACTGGATATTACTAAAGACAGGCCAAGATAATATTTCTATAGCAGAAACTGAAGCCAATTTGAAGACACCTAATTCTAAAAAGTAATTCCAAATTTTCCAACTTAAAAATACATATTTTTGAAGATACCCTTTTTTGCTTAATCTCTAAAAAGCAAGAGATCCTCTCTGCAAAAAAAAAAAAAAAAGTGCTGTCAGAAATCTTCAGTCTATCTATGATTGTACTAGCAGCTACCTTAGATCACAACATAGCATCATGCCCATAGTTTTTAATAGTTCCTAGTTAATTTTAGATACCCTTAATTCTATTCCCAAATGATTTTAATACTCTACAGAAGATAGTTTTAACCAATACCTTATCCATTGACATGTCCCATACTTTGCAAATATCATTCTCCATCTCTTCATCTAGTTCCATGGGTTCTTCTGCATTGTCCAGTTTTGAAGCCTTCTTTTAAGTGTTAACAAAGTTGTAAAGTAAAAAAAAGAGCACAGACATAAAGTTACCAAAGCAACTCAAGTGTTTCTGAAAAGTTATCCAGAGTTGGATCCAAATATCTAGCACTATTAGAATGTGTCAAATGCAATTAAGACCTATAACCAAGATAGTATTTATGATAGACACACACTCTACTGTTTCTCTTCTGAGTATTGCTGAAGAACATCATTAA